TATATATATACCAAGTGAATGGTGCTAAGAAAAAAGCAGGCATTGCAATTCTAATAACTAATAAAAATAGACTTTAAACTAAAACTAATCAGAAGAGATAAAAATGGCCACTTCATTCTGATCGAAAGAACAATAAACCAAGAAGACATTACAATCATGAAAATATATTCACCAAACTCTGGTGCACCCAACTTCATAAAAACAATACTACAGGACTTTAAGACCCAAATTAACCCCAACTCATTAATAGTAGGGGACTTCAATACCCCACTATCTCCATTAGATAGGTCAACAGGCCAGAGACTTAACAGAGAGACATCTGAATTAATCAATACCATATATCAAATGGACCTAACAGACATCTACCGAATATTCCACCTAAGCACTAAAGAATGTACTTTCTATTCAGTGCCCCATGGAACCTGCTCCAAAATCAGCCATATTCTGGGGCACAAAGCAAACCTCAACAAATATAAAAAGATTGAAATAATTCCATGCATTCCATCAGACCACAATGCAACAAAGCTTAAAATCAACACCGGAAGAAATCTAGCCATTTGAACACATGGAGATTAAACAACACACTCCTGAATGATAAATTGGTCAAAAGAGAGAAATTAAGGAAGAAATAAAAGTGTTCCTGGAACTAGATGAAAAGGCTGAACAGATTTTTAAGAAGTTGTGCTGAACAGTGAATCTACAGACTAAGCATAAACATAGCCAAAGTGAATTAATCTAAAATTTAATGAAAACATTTGTTGCCAGGATATCTATAGACCTTTGAGGTATTTGTTTCAGTTATATTTAAAAATATGTTTATTTTTAAATTATTTATTTAACAACCACATGATTAGAAGAAGCATTTCATTACAGCATTAACATATCAGGAAACAGGCATTAATAAGGGAGATAATGGATAAAAATGGGGTTATTTTAAGGGGGTGGGAGGGAGGTTTATATAACACACTTGGGGATAAAGGGAAAGAAAGAGATCAAGAGAGGTGGGATCATAGGAGAAGGGTATTATTAAGGGATAAATGGGGAAAATGGGGGCATTTTAAGTGAGAAACCATAGTGGAAGGTTTAGACAATGTGAGAGATAAATAATGCCTAGTTAGTTTTTAAAAACCAGAGGGAACCATATTAATTCAACAACCTACTGACAAATTATACATACAACTAGCTCAAGGAATATAATACATGTCTAAGCAAGGTTTATCTGAGAATGTTTGGTCTTTTCCCAAGCGTTATCTTCATGGCACATGGTAATTAAAAATGACAGACTGGTGGAACTAACCTTCTTGAATGTCTAACAGCCATACATTGAGGCCTGTACTAATTTAGTCAGAGGGATATAAAGGACAGTTTTTGTACCTTTCCCTCCTAGATTGACTAAGCTCCAGGGGACTTTGAGCATCACTCAAAATGTCCTGTGACTGTGGTGAGTCACCTGTCCTCTTGATCAAGGAGGCCATGGCGACCCCACCAAATGGACTTGAACCAGTGTCCAGTCTACAAAGAGGGTCAACACAGAGGAAACATTTCCTCCATGCTTCCAAGTGAAGCCAGCCACAGTCAAGCAGGACCTTTTACTTATCTTTATATAGATGGAACTGGTAAAAGAAAGGAGCCAGGGGCTCTTCCCAAGCCCATCCCATGTGACCCCTTAGGAACAGATTGTCAAACAACCTTAAGAATAAAAATAAATTGGTTTATCTGGGCCACTGTATGGTCTTAAACACCCAGAAGGAAAGTATAACCAAAGATTAAAGGGATCAATATAACTCTTTAAGAGTCCATGTGTATAGCTAAGGGCTATATAACAAGAAACAATGCCAGACAGGAGATACCTTCCTTTAAGTTGTTGGTCAGGGTGGCCCAAGAGACTCTCAGACAGCAACCCAGCATAGAACTGGGAAAACGAACAATAAGACCCCAATCATGTCTAAAGGAATATTGGCAACTGATTGCTGCTAGATGAGGAAGAGCTGATCTTCCTAAAACAAGGAACCCTGTATAAGCTGACTAGATTCGGTGGATGGATACACACTGGAGAATGTCTGGGGCACCGACAACACAGTGGACAGTAATAGGGATTACAGGGTATATGGGTTCCAGTGGGTGAGGGGGAGAGACTATGGGAGGCTGCCATTTGGGATGTGGGTGTATAGATGAATAATATTGTTTGGGATGTTCTGTATGAAATACACACAAAAAATCAACAAATTTTTAAAAAGTTATATTTGAGGAAGAGCCATAAATATTTGCTCCATGTTAATTAGTAGAGGTGAAACACATTACCATTGAAATCTACCTGATGATTTTATATCCATGTTTGGGTGGATCACAGAAAGTAACTGACTGTGACCAATAATAATCAGATACACAGAGATTAGCGATGCATGTGCAAACATCTAAGTGTTAGTAGCATTAAAAATGAGTTTTTCTGTATGAAACAGTATATTTTGAATGGAGATGTTTTTTAAAGGTTAAAACATCATTCAATTTTATGTCTTATAGGTTTTATACTGAGTTCAATATTGTATAACTGTATTAATTCAACTGTGAACCTAAAAATTTACAGCCAATATTGAAAGAGATGCATCTTTGCTCTGGAAATTGTTATTGAATATGTTAATGCTATAGTGAAATGCTTTGTATGAATATTATGCATGTGAGTCAGTGCATGTACCATGTGCATGTAGTACCCACAGAAGCCAAAAGAGGGCATTGAATTCCCTGGAGCTGGAATTACAGACAGTTGTTAGCTGCTATATGGTGCTGGGAACTGAACCCATGTCCTCTGCAAAAGCAACCAGTGCTCTTAACTACTGAGCAATCTCTCCAGCCCCTGTTTCAGTAATATTTTAATGCCATAAATATGAATAGCTACCCATTACAGTGAGAAGCATAACAATCATAGTAGAAGCTAAAAATGTTCTGAGTTCTGAGGCTTTGAGATAAGAGGTCAGGAAGACAACTTTCTACCAAGAAAATCTTTCTGCTAGAATACCATACAGCTATTTCCAAAAGAGAATAGATTTGCACATGAAATATTTGTTTGAGAATATCCTAGTTATACACAAAGTATAGATGAGAACTAGTAAGAACTTTAAGCATAATAATTAAAATAATATTTTACCTAACTACAATAACCATAATTATGTAATTATTTCATAGATGCAGTAAAATTCTGAATGCCATTTGATGAATAGAAAATATAAACAGTAAAGGAAAAAATGAGTATCATAATGTTGTTAAAATGTATTTTTAATCAATTTAACAGTTTAGTTTTCTTGGGTGAATCTCTAGATGTAACAACTTCTTAGCTCTTTTTCCCCAAAATAATTTATAGTGTTGCTTTTATTCACTGTTTTTGTGAGCCATTTAAAAATATCATAAAAGGAAAAATAAAAATTTTCATGAGTTTCACAATGTGAAAGAGCATAGTAGTCAATTTTTTTCCAGATACTTTTCCCCAAGCTTGAGTATCAAAATTCAGAATATGCTTGTATCTAAACTCAGAAATCTAATTGCTATGGAATTCTTACCAAAATGAAAAGCTTATTAGGTTTTTTCCCTAAAGGGGATTAATTTCAAGGAAGAATTTTATTGATATATTCCTAAAATGATCTTGAAAATATTATACAATATTAAAAATAGAAATCATGTTGCTCCTGTACTTCCATAGACATGACATAACTTTCCGAATATCAAAGCATAACTCTCTTCTCAAACCAAAAATGAGAAGCAGCATGTAGAAGTTAAAATTCTATCTCATGATGACAATCAAAGGCATGGATTTTAATCTTTGTTGAAACTAAGTTTTAAAAACATTTTTGTTTTCCATATCTATTTGATTTTGATGTTGTATGATTATGTCATAATTAGAAAAGAGACAATATGAGAGTAGGTTAGTATTTTGTATGTTTTTCATTTTTAATTCCTCTAAAATTACTTTATAGGGTCATATTAAACATGAGTTAGATGAACTAATCTCTATTCACAAAGCAGATCAGATTTTTCAGTATGGAGCTTTGTAAGGCCAAATTCCTACTGAACAGTTTCACTCTCCCCACTTACTTTGAGATACGGGATAATTTTGTCCATTTTACCTCTCTTATATTTAAGTTCCTTCTAGAAGGGAGTCAGAAATTACCCCAATACAAAATCTAATTTAGTGGCTCTGGCCTTACACAGGAGTTTTCCTAAACCTGAACTGACATTCTGCATTTGTTTCCTAATCAAAATTTATCTTGAATATCATCCTTCTATTGTCATTCTAGTCACAATGTAACCAACTACTAGAAATGGGCTTGTTTGCAACAGCATAGACATGTCATCATCCATTTTTGAGGTCAAAAGTCTGAGAGAGGTCTCTCTGGGCTAAAATCAAGATATTGATAAGGTTGTATTTCTTTCTGGGGTATGAAGGAAGAATCCATTTCCCTGCCCTTTCTCTCTCTGATAGGACTACCACATCCTTTGATTCACTCCCCGTTTCCATCTTCAAAGGCAGTAACAGCATCCTGAAGCTTCTTCTGGCCACAGCCTGTAAAAACCCCTCCACTTCTGAGAATGCATATAATTAGTTGTATCCACTTAAAGCTATTACAGGATAAACTCTCCACTGTAAAGCCTTTAGCTTTAATTTTATTTGCAAAGTCCATGTTTCAGTGTAAAGCAACATGTCAGACTCCAGGGAAGTCATTTGACCATTGTCTGTAAGTCTGATATCCGAGGTCCTGCACTTGGAATCTATCACTTATGCCTCCTTATAGTCTCTCTTGAGATTCTGAGTTCTTTAAAGGAAAGAATCATTTCTTACACCATATACCTAACATGCTTAAAATCAATACACGATTTTTTTCATTAACAGCTAGATGTCAGATGCAACCAAGAAGCTGGACAAAGTGTTAGAAAATGGCACACAGTCTATGCTGTTAAGAGATAATTCATGCAAGGATAAGGTGGAAGCCATGAGTGCGGGAATAGTGATTTCCTAGTTCAAGAATGTTTCTGGGACCACAATCTAAAATTGTCAATAAGAAATATTAAATTCAGAAGCCAGGTGTGGTGGTGCACACCTTTAATCCCAGCACTCGGGAAGCAGAAGCAGGTGGATCTCTATGAGTTTAAGGCTAGGCCAGCCTGGTCTACAAAGCAAGTTCCAGTCCAGGTGGGGCTACAGGGAGACCCTGTCTCAGAAAGACAAAAAAAAGTTAAATTCAGTTGCATATAATTCAGAACGGAGGGAGATTTACCACAAGATTAATGCAGTAGGCTGAGCATGGTGGCACATGCCTGTCATCACAGTGCCCAGGAAACCAAGGGAGGATGATCATGAGACCAGCCTTCTTGGCTTCGTATCTAGAAGCCTGTCAGAAACCAAACAAGTAGCAATACAGAGTCTTGAGGACACACCAGCCTTCACATGCTTCTCACTGATGTTTCAGGACCTGGAGAGCTGCAGGCTTCGTCTAGATCCTGAGTTGGACCGGCACAGATACGAGAGAAAAATCAGCTTTGCTGGGGTTCTGGATGAAAATGAAGACTCAAAAGATTCTCTCCACAGCAGCAGCCACACCCTCAAATCAGATGCAGGTGCTGAAGAGAAGAAAGGTATGGAAAAGCAAGGATTACTCATGTCTCAGGCTTTCTCACAGGATATTGATCTTGGGTCTAAACTACAAAACCGTGTGCCCACATTCTTGGCCACATACAGTACTGATTCTGTGCACTCTACCCAGTGAGCTACGAAACAATACTAGTTTGAGGTTGGATTTGCAGTTAGAAGGGCTTGGGTTCCAATTCCAGCTCAGCAATTTTCCTTCATTAAATCTAAGATCCTATCAGTTTTAAGATGACCCATTATTTTATTTATCAATAAAAAAGGAAAAACAATCCAAAGCAACTGTTTTGCAGCACTCTCTTACCATTTTGTTTTGTTTTATTCTTATTAAAAGAGATCTTTGAGACAATAAAATTGTATATACTATTATTATTGTACATCATTCTTGTATAACTAAAAACAGTCTAACTAAAATATATTGGTTAAAGCTTTTTTTAATTCACTGTCCAAATGCTTAATTACTTTTCAATCCAAAGTTGTCAATGTCCATGTTTTTCTATAGGATAATGTCCTTCATAACATAAGAATGTTGTGATACATCATTTCAGAAGTGGGTCTCTAGGAGTAAAGCTCAAAGATTTAAAATAATAGTAATAATAAATAAATGAATAAAGACAGAAGATCAACACTACCACCACCACCAACAGCAAAGTACTAAAGCTACCTGTGCTAGTTACTGAAACCAATTTGGAATGGTATGAAGCTCGCCTACCTTAAAGTCCTCTTTAGCACTGTTACTAAACACCTCTGCCTTATACCCTGACCCACTTTGCAACCCCTCACTACTACTTTGTCTTGGTCTTTAAAGAACAAAACAGTCTGTATATTTTACTGCTAATACTTAGATGTTCATGGACACAACCAAGATCCATTGTATTACAAGTGCCACTTGGCACTAGGAATTCTAAGCAATCAGTTACATGATGCTATGGTCATTCTCATGTTCTTACATTATGAGCTTTTAGATTAGACCCACACAGAAAATTCCAGCCATGACCTAAAAATTACAGTTTTAAATTACTCATTAGAGGCTTCTCTAAACCATCACCTTCATTATCTGATTTTTTAAAAATTTTGTTACCCTTCATTGTTTTTATTTTTAAAAATTTGCTTTAATACACCTGTGTAGAACACTAATTGTATAACTTGAAATATTTCCCTGTGGACAATGAATGAATGCATCCTTGATATCCTCAGTGAATTAATAAGAAGGCATAGCCCTATATAAGGGAATACAAGATATTTAAATGTGATAAGAATGGAGATACAATAGGAAATGTTTAAATATTTCAGTATGAAAATATTGCCCCAACATTTTAAAATATGCATATCCTGTGTCGTATTTGTTGACTTTTTGGTGAATAGAGGTCATGCTGTAAGATGAATAAGCAAAGTCTCAAGCAATTTCTAAGTAGGAAGACATACCAAGCCAATGTTTTCTAATATTTACCACATTCAAAAAGTATATCATCCATTATTTAAAATATCCCAAAGGTAGGTACAATGCAATTTTTGCCATTCAAAGTTATTATAGCAATCACTGTTAACAAATTCTAAATACTAACCTGCTGAAACTTGAGCAAAGTAAATTCTACATCATCTTTAAAAATAGGGGCATTTCCCCAGTTCGATGCTGGATTTTTGTCTGGCATGAGCTTGCATGTGTCTTGTGCGTGCTCTCACCATTGCTGTAAGTTCATATGAGCAGGTTATGGAATTGAATTTTTATCCAAGGTGCATAGACCAAGATCATATTCATGTTCTAGAAATACCCAATCTGATTTGATAATTCCATATGACAGATAAAAAAATACTATTAACTTTTCACCAATGGGGTTTCTTTTAAATAAAAGCAATAACTGAAGATCAAAATAAATAAATAAATAATAAATAAATAAATAGATAAATAAATAAGAGCTGGAGAGATGGCTCAGGAGTCAAGAACACTAACTGCTCTTGCAGAGGATCTAGGTTCAATTCCCAGTACCCACATGGTGACTAACAGCTATCTGTAACCCCAGTTCCAGGGGATCGGACACTCTCTTCTGGCCTCTGTGGTGTACTTACACACATGCAGGCAAGGTACTCATACACATAAAATAAGAATAATAGACAAATCTTTAAGTTTTTTTTTAAAAATAAAATATTTGGTTAGTTTTAGGAACATGTTAATTTCTTGATGATTATCTTTACTGTTCAAACTCTCGCACCCTCATCATTTTCTCTTAGTACAATTTTCTTGTGTTAACTAACATATGAAAGCTTTTTCATGAATAAACAACAGAAAACTGAAACTGTAAGTAAAATGAGAATTTAACCACAAAAATACTCTTAATTAACTGGCAAAGTCTTCCTGAAGATTCCTAAATATTCTTTAATCCATTTGACACATATATCAGCAACTAAAATCAGTATGAAAATGTGACAATTGGGACACTGCTAACTGTACCAATTTGAAAAAAAAATCATACCATCTGTTTTCACAAAACAAAATGTCAACTCCTAAAATAAATAAGCTGAGAACAATTCCGTTCTACCAAAGAAAATGCATGTTAACTATCCTTCAAAATGTAAGAATATCTACCTAGGATGTCCAAGCAGTCTATAAACCCTTTTACTCCTATTCCAAACAAACCAAGGCTAGTATTTCAAATTACAGACACCAAGAAAATTCTTCTCATATAGCATCCAGATTTGAGCACCTACTGTATACCAGGAACTATTGCAGGTTCCCAGAATACTGCCATAAACAAGAGCATTTTCCCACATGCGTTTCAATTCAAAGTAATTAACACTTAATACCAAATAGCCTTTGGTATAACAGTAAATAACGTGAAATACTAGACTCTCGAGATAAGCGATAGTGGAGCTGGAGAGATGGTTCAGTGGTTAAGAGTACTGACTGCTCTTGCAGATGACCCAGGTTCAATTCCCAGCACCCACATGACAGCTATGAACCATCTGTTAACTCCAGTTCCAAAGGAATCTGATGCCTTCTTCTGACCTCTCTGGTCATTGCATGACACAGGTGCACTTACATGTAGGCAATACATTCATAAGCATAAAATAAAAATAATAAAATATTTTTTCAAAGATAATAGAAAGTAAAACAAATTAGAATGAGGGTTGTGACCTGGAGTAGGAAGAGACATGGTCAGAGAAGACCCTCATCATGGCCCTCATAACTGACAAGGACCAGAGAGACCTGCCTGGTATTTAGGAGCCATTAATGCAAAGGGCAGAAGAAGGAGTATTCTAAACAGAGGAAACAGTGAGGCCAAGGCTGTGATGAGGAGTGAACTTGGAGCCTTTGAAAAAGAGCCAAAATACTAACAGCTGTAGCAAATAAGTTGGGGGAAGAGTGGGAGGAGACAGGTCAGAAAGTTAGGCAAAAGGCAAGTTTGGTAAAAGACGGAGTCTGGTAGATGGGCTGAGACATCTAATTCTTTTTTAAATGTGTTACAGACTTATTGGTCAGTGTATATTTATGGCTTATGTATTTAAAATGTGGAAGTGGGGGAGGAAGGAACACTTACAGGTATTTGCATTAACCCAGAGAAGAAGTAATAGAGTTTTCAACTCCTGGAATGTTTTGAAGCATAGAGCCAGCAAGACTTGCTGTGAAGGATACAATGTGGACAAGGGAATATGTTCTCCAACTTAGATGAATTTGTTTCATTTTGATTCTAGTTCTTATTGGTATAGGGATAAAAGCTAAAATTCAGTACCAAACAGTCTCAGATGACATATTTTATGAACAAAATCAAAGTTGAATTCTCATTGCTGTGTCCCTTGTAAGTAACCAATGTCACAATTCTGACTTAATTTTTTCAAGGCTGCAGGAAGTCTCCAATTATCTTTTGTGTTGGAACAAATTATCAAAATTAAATCTCTTTCAGATCCCAATAATTTGAAGTTATTTAGCTGCATTTGTAGGCTGAAAAGTGTCATAAAACCAGGCAAAAGGTATTAGTGTTTGCCTCTATTAAAAAATCTAAGAATTATCACTGTAATTTTACTCTCTATTTCTCAATCTACCTCCACATACAATTGTCCTAGTGGTCATTAAAAATGATAATTAACCACAAAGTCTCAATTAAGCCTAGAAATAATATCAAAAATACAGTTGGGTGAATTTTGTGCTATAATTAAACTACAGCATATTATGGTCTATGGTTTTGTGGCAATTATACTGCTAGAAATTCCTTCCAGATGTACAGTTCTATCCAGATGTGTTCAGGGAGCCCCTCAAAGTTTGCAGAAGCTGAGCAGTGATAATTTTAGGCTCTTTCAATCTCAAGAGCAAACCAGAGATTAAACATTCACTTATTCTCCAGGAATCCTTCTGGTCTCCTTTATATGCCATTGAAAGTGTGCATTTAACTAGCATTTTAAAGAATTCAGGTTTTATTATAGCCACATAGAAGCTTTTTGTTGGGAGAGAAACCTGAAACTAAAACTTCCTTATTGGAATTTCAAAACATATTCATTGTTTTGATTTTTGTTCACCTTTTAAGATAATTTATAAAACTAGCCTCTTCCTGCTAATGGGTTTTGAGCCCTGAAAACCTTGTTTTATTCTGTTGTTATAAAATCAATACTTATAATATTGAATATTCAGAAAAAAAGACATATATTACATGGAAAATAATTTTACTTTTTATTCTTTTTAAAATGAAGTTTGAAGTTAAAACATATTTCTTTTACCTCTTTTACTTCCCACACTGATGACTGTTTCTTCCTGAATATTAAGGACGAATAATATTTATGCCCTTCTTCATACACATAGACTTTAAAGTTGGCTCAGGACATGCAACTTTTGATTCTCATTTCATCAGCCCTTTGAGAGGAGGATGCTATGAAAGGGAAACCACCTCACACCTATGCTCACCCAAAGCATCCCCATTAGAGCAGATCTCTTAGTGTCTTCACTGAGGAACAGAGTGGAAGCTACTGCTGATTGTTGGAGAGAGGAATACCTCTCATGTTTATTCTTCATGAGCTACTCTAAAGGAAAGGGTCTCTGTGACAGTTTTCCTAATTCTGTATGTCCAATTTCGCAGGAAAAGCAAAAAACAATGGAGTGTGGTTCCATTGAACCAAATAGGAATGTGATATAAATGTACTAGCTGTCCTGAATGATGGTGTTGTAATGGCACACTCATGCTTGTGAACCCTGGGCCAGAGCAAGAGCAGATTGTTCCCAGTCACAATGAGCTTTTATTTCAAGAAAGACACTGCACCAGCCCTTCCTGGTTACCCTGGTCTCCTCCTGCCTGACCAAGCCTGGTGACTTGGAGGCTGGCAGAAAGGCCTCTGTCCAGAAATGCTCCTCAATCAGGCCAGCAGAGAGTTGGCTGATCAAACAAATTGGGGAGAGTGTGAATATAACACTGGCTGGGGAAAACTAAAGGGGGGAAAGCCCTATTTTATTCTTTTAATACAGTTCCCAGCAGGAAGATCAGGATAGGAGGTTCTCGCCTGCTCCAGATTAAAGGAACCCGCAGTTTCCAGGTGAAGAAGGGGGGTTCCTTGTCCAGCATTCGCCGGGTCGGCAGCTTAAAGAGCAGCAAGTTATCACGGCAGGACTCAGAGTCTGAGGCTGAGGAGCTGCAGCTGTCCCAGAGCAGGGACACTGTCACTGACCTAGGTAACACAGAAGAGCGGGGTGTGCAGGGACGTGGGGGGTAGGAAGACAGGACTCAAGTCCTGAAACAGCCAAAGTTCGTTTCCTTATACCTAAATAGAGCAAGAGCAGAGCCATAGCTTAGACAGCTCATTCTGTAGAAAACCACACTCCACTTCTGGGCAGGTCAGTCAAACATTAACATGCACGTGGCACCTGCAGGCCTTGTTCAAGTGTCTATTCTGATTCAGCAGATGGTGTGGGGATCTGAGATTCTACATTTTAACAAGCTTTCCTGTGAAGCTGACACTGCTGATTCAAGGACCACACTTGGAGCTGTGAGAATAGAAAGTACACATTAGGGAAAGTAAACACTTTAATGACAAGGACCATTTTAGAACTCCAGATGCTGTATATCCATGCTTCTGATTAGGACCTTCAAAGTCAAATGTAGAGGCTTCTATATTGTAGTCTTCATTTGACAATAAGAGCACCAGGAAGCAGCAATTGTTTAGATGGACTGCCAGCAGCCGGTCACCTAATTTCTCAGGGATGTGTTTTCTCCCGCCATCCTATAGGAATAGTTCCGTTTACTTGTGGTCTGCTCTGTAGGGATGCTCTTAAAAATTCATCAAATATATAAGAATGAGCTTTGCATACAATCAAAGCACTAAGGCTATAGATTGTTGCCATTGTAGGATCTGAAGAGGCTCCAAATCTCAAAATGTGTTCATCCAAACTGCAGGCCCTGATTGGCCTCTTAATAGACAAAGAAAAGATTAAGTAAGGTAGAATTAACTAGTCAGTAAAAGTCAAAGCACAACCTCTCTGCCGTTCAGTCTCTAGTTTCAAAGCACCAGTAAGTAAATGATGATAGAATCTGCTCAAGTGGTAGCTAAGTATCTAATCAAAGGAAGTTTAAAATAGAAAATGCTTCTACATCCAGCCACCCTTGTCTTTAAAAATAGCTAATTTATGCACTAATTAAGATTCAGCTTACTTCTTAAGGAGACAATAGAAAAAGAAGTGACTTCTTTGGTTGGAGGAATAAAATTATAACATTGTTATATCATTGACTATTTAGAACCTGAATTGAGCAGTTAATCTTGACCAGTCAAGTCAAAGTAATCAAACTAGAGATGTAGTTTTGTAATGTAAAAGATCCGTGAAAGTGTTTATATTTGGGGCGATAGCACCTTTATATTTCCCATAGAGAGGACAAAAAGGTGGCTCGCAGTTGACTTTGTTTCTTTCAAATCTTAGTTTCTCCAATGCCCCTTCCCATTTCTGAGTTGCCCTCATAGCAAAGCCTAGTATTCTCAACAATAATGCTAGTGCAGTGACAGACCCATCACCCTGGGAACTCACTGCAGGTCAGTTGGTGTCCCTGCTTAGCTACAGCTGTGTGGTCTGGGCAGTCTGGAATGGATTTGGGCACACTTGGCCAATAACCGGCTCTTCTCAGCCATGCAAGGACTTGACTGTTTTCTTCTCTGTTCTCATGCCTTAAAATGGAAGCCACCATATCCAAGATCATCAATGTGTTTGAACTTGCCAGTTCAGCTGGTGGTGAAGGGAACAGCTCCTGTTAATGTTGCTCCATTAAAGTCCTGTGCCCTGTAACCATTTGGGCCATGGTAGTCTGCCCTTGGATTCAAAAGCATGGACAATGACACCATACCTGCATGCTCCTCAGAGAGACTGAACACTGAAACTTTTCTTGCTGTTTTCTTTTTGAAGAAGGGAGTCCTTGGAGTACAAGTGAGCCCAGCATTGAGCCAGAAGGAATGAGCAATGCCGGCACAGAGGAAAATTACCACAGGAACATGTCATGGCTTCACGTAAGTGGCAACCTCGGGAAGATCTCAAGAAATAATTCCTTTTGACACAGGGGAAGATTCTTAGAGAGAGAAACAGCTATCAACATGAATTAGCCTCCCAGAGAAAGCAGAACCTCACATTTTAACTGAATCTCTAAACTATTAGTAGAATTATTATTCTGCTGGATTGTGTTTAAAGATTAAGACTAAAGTTTTTTATTATGCATGGGTCACCATATGTCAAGAATAACTATGAGGTACCAGGTCAAGTTGATGGTCAAGATAGCCTTAATGGCACAGGCTAGTCATCTTGGTCAATGTTATACATGTTACTTTGAACATGTTACTGTGAACATGTGCGCAAGATCACAATCTTGGTTCTGTGTTAAATCAGATTTTAAATGGGACAAGCAGACTCTCAATGAGAAAAATTATGCCTTGGAAAGGTATCCATAGTGCAAAGGCAGAAGAAATTCCTAAAAACCTGTAGGAACAGGTTAGAGTAAATATTTGTTCTGAGCATGAAGAAAGAAATAGTGAGCTCTCCTCATACACTGGAGGAATCATGTCTCCAATATATGCACCTCTGTTACTCCTCTTGGTCCTGTTCTTTAATGCAACCACTCTTTTCATTGACAAGATAGATGAAAAATATAGATGAAATTATAGGGGCACTATGGTAGAGACATGGTAGAGACTTGTAGACATGCATAGAATGTGCAACACCAAGCATGACATTTAATGTAAAATGTGGACTTCGGCTGGTATTTCAGTGTTGGTCAATTGTAGTAACTGTATCCCTGTGGTGCGGGTGCTGAAGGAGGGAGACGTTGGATGTGGGTGGGCACAGGGTACACTAGGAGCTATCTCTGCTTTGGCAGAAAACTGCTCTACAGCAAAGTTTATCAATTTAAAGTTATAGAGGTTTCACAGAATGCTAGTTCCCTCCAAAGAGAATTCACTCTGTCCTCTGGAAGATAACAAAAAATTCTGATTTTTGTTTTCCCAGAACAATGAATTTTCCAGAATATCCATTCTATTTGACAGCTTGTTTCTGGGCAGCTTCTTAGCTATTCAATCAGCAGCCACCTAGAAGGGAAAGCAATAGCTCAGTGTCTGCCTTCCTCTCTAACCTTACTGCTCTACAGGAGTTTGGCCACTCAATTCCTCCCTTTGGCAATTCTGAATTCCAGTTTTGATCTCCCATCTGCCAGTAGATTGCCTGAAGCTCTTCTTGGCTCCTTGGCCACCTTGCTAAGAAATAGCAAAGGCAAAGAGAAATGGGGTGTGTGCTCATGTCAGAGAATGTTTTTTTACCCACACAATTCCTTTCATGTCAATTGCCTTACCCTCTGTGCATTCAACTATATGCATTATAAAAATTTCAAGTGTGTGTGTGTGTGTGTGTGTGTGTGTCTGTTAGATATTAATTTGACAACTTGACTTTCATGATTGCTCACCTTTAGCTGTGAGCTGCTTCATCATGGTTGGAAAAGAATCAGAATCACTTTCTATTGATCCATCATGAACTCCCACAAACTCAGAAGAAAATAGCACATGTGTATTATCTCAGTTTCTGAGGGTCATGAATCCAGGCACAGTTTAGCTGAGTTCTCTGCTTCATGGTTTTTGGCAAGGCTGAACCCAAAGTACTAACAGAACTGAGGTATTTATCTAAAGACATGACTAGAAAAGGAGTTACTTCCAGACTCATGTGATTCTTGGCAAATTTTCAGTTCTCAGTCAGCCAGATGTTGACCAGAGGCTACTCTTTTCTTTTTATATCTTTTTTCTCTTTTTGGTATGTGTATGTAGCATGTGGTGTGTGTGTGTGTGTGTGTGTGTGTGTGTGTGTGTGTTATGCACACATGAGTGTGCAAATGTGTGTATCTGTTCCTGTGCTTGTGGTGGTCAGAGGAGAATGTCCAGTGTCTTGCTCTATCACGTTCCACCTTAATCCCTGTAAGAAAGGGTCTTTCACTGAACCAGAAGCTTACCGTTTTAGCTATGCTGACTGGCCAGCAATCTGCTTCTCTCTACTCCCCTACTGCAGGGGTCACAAGCACGTGAAGCCATGCCTGGCTTTTTGTTAATACTTGGGGTTCAGACTCGGATTTTAATGTTTGCACAGCAAGCAGTTTTACCCACCGAGCCATCTATCCCAGCCCCAGAGGTCACTCATGTCCTTACCATGTGGGCCACTGCAACATGACAGATTGCTGCACTGAAGACAATAAAAGAGGCTGCAAAGGAGGGAGAGATCACAATTTCATGTAACTTAGTCAGAAAGGAGTCATTCCAACACTTTTGCCATATTCTATTGGTTAGAAGCAAGAATTTAGGCTAACTTAAACTAATGGGAGGTTTCACAAAGTGAAATCATAGTGTGTGGATCACTGAGATTAATCTTAACAATATATCTACTAAAGGAATATCAGCAGTGGAATTTTTAAGTTATAGATATTAGATTGCTAGGCTATCTTTATCCCTAAACTGAGAACTTCCAAATCAGAATTTTCTGATGCAAATTCTAGTATTATGCTCAGAGTGTGTGTGTGTGTGTGTGTGTGTGTGTGTGTGTGTGTGTGTGTGGTTATGCTCAGAGTGTGTGTGTGTGTGTGTGTGTGTGTGTGTGTGCGTGTGTGTTTGAAAGGCTTCTTAGTGTTTCTTTTGATCATTCAGACTTCAGAATAACAAGGGAACTTTTAGAGTTATATGTGTCTGCCTCATGACACAATATAAAGTAAAGTATCAGGAGATGTACATCAAATCTTGAGAGACCTGGATATTCTGCCTAGACAGCACTTGCATTTGTTAAATTTTGGGGATTTTGAATATTGTTATTTATCTGTACCTAAGAATAAGCAAGGCATGTTGTTCTTAAAGTAGCATGTGGTAGCTCTGCCTGGCAGGTACAAGCGACCTTATCCATGTGGACTGGCTTGGTGTTCTCATCCAGTATGGTGCACACTCCTTCACAGGTTAACTGTCAAGGTAGGGGCTAATTTTCTCAGAACAGAACCATTCAAAAGATTAATCTATACATATTTCTTTTGAAGGAAGTCTACCTAAAAAACTATAAACTTAAGGTCTAAGGGGATGGCTCAGTGGTAGAGCATTTGCCAAAACATGCAAAATTCCCCAAATTTGGTCACTAGCGCAACAAAACAAACACAAGTTACAAACTTGGGGTGAGGAAATGTAGCTCAGTGATAGACACATGCTTAGCATGTGCACAGCCCTGCCTTAGATCACCAGAGTTGCAAAAAAAGTTACAGACTCAAGGTTCTTCATTTATCTCTTAAAATAGCTATCTTTTAGATCAACTGAGTTCACTTACAGAATCCTAATGGGGAATCTTAGGAGATGAGAGTATTTAAACCTTATAAAGCTCTTCTATAGAAGAGCTAGAACAGCCTGAAAGCAGGAGGGTGGGGTGGCAGAACTAGTGGGAGAGTAGCAATGAGGCTCCATGAACTTGGGGTTCAAGTTCCAACCCCAGAGTGGGCGATGCAGAAATGTTTCCAAACCCCACATAGTTTGCATGGGAGTTTAAGGCATCCCCCAGCTGTCAAAGGTCATTAGATGACTCTGGGACTGAATTTCTCATCAGAGTATACTTTTCCATTTGGCTCCTATCACACTGTAACACTTGAGATGGGAAGTAAAGAAGTATGGTTTATTGTTAGCTCAAAATCTCCATTTCAAACTGTTTGGAAAGCATATACTTCATAGTAATTTTCTAGAGTGTTTTTTTTCCATTGATTCTTTTTTTTGTTGTTTTTTAATTATTTATTGCATAACCAAATGATTAGAAGAGGCATTTCATTACAACAGCATTGACATATCCAATAACAATTTCTAGAGCTAAGATGGTTCTCTTTCAAAATTGGCTGTAAATTATTAGGTTTACAGTTGAATTAATACAGTTATACAATATTGTACTCCGTATAAACCCTATAAGACATAAAATTAAATGTGGTTTTAAACATTGAAAAAGATCTCAATTTCATTATTAAAATACACAGTTTCATACAGAAAAATTCATTTTTAATGCAATTAACACTAAGATGTTTGCACATGTGCTTCTAATCTCTATATATCTGATTTTTACTAGTCACAGTCGGTTACTTTCTGAACACCTTGGCATCTGAGCATGGATATAAAGTCATAAGGTAGAAGTCAATGGTAACTTTTTCACATCTACTAATTATTAAGGAGCAAATTTTTATGCTTTAAAGAATTATTATTTTTTAATTTTTTAAAAAATTCAATATTGTATAACTGTTACATCTACTAGTTATTAAGGAACAAATTTTTATGCTTTGAAGAATTTTTTTATAGACCCACTTCCCAGATAGTACCCTCCCTTAGCCTCCCTCCCCCCACTAGAGCTCTTATACTCTGATATCCCTGCTGCTGTCTGCTGGCTTGTTGGCACCCCCAGCCATTCCCCACTACTTGTTCTTCTGGTGAATCTAGTCAGCCTATCTAGAGGTCTTTGTTTTAGGAGGGTCAGCTGTTCCTCATCTAGCGGTATTCAGTTGTCAATATTCCTTTGGATAAGATTGGGGTCTGCTGTTCGTTTTCCCAGTTCTATGCTGGGTTACTATCTGGGAATCCCTTTGGCCACCCTGGCCAACAACTAAGAAGGAGGTATGGCCTGTCTGGTGTTGTTGCTTGCTATGTAGCCTTTAGCTATACATATGGTCTCTTATGAAATTA